CCCCATGGGCGAGGGGGGGGGAGGGGGGTGTACGGCTGCGTAGTCCCCTAGAGAAGGATGGGGGCTAATCACACGCTGCACCTGTCCTTCCCGGGAGCTGCCTGATATGGCCGTGCACGCAGCACAGAGCTGTATGTGCGGGCCGATTCTTGTGTGAATGAGGCCTAAAGCTGACTACCAGGTCAATAGAAAAGCCACCATTATTGTAGTTACACTAGATGTATTTATATTGCATTGCAACTACCTTAATGGGTATGAGTGGCACGCCAGAGAAGGAGCAGAATGATGATCTCCCTGGTGTTCCACCACAAGAGAAAGCCCCCATAATTTTTTTTTTTATGACAGTCACTTTAATATCAGTTTTGATGTTGTTAGCCAAAGGGGAATCATCTCATTAGTGTACCACCCGCAAGAGATCAATAATAATAATTTGATACGGAAAGGGCCTGTTCTTCCGCAAACTAATTTTGTCAAATAATTCCGCTTACAAGTTTGTTCAAAACCACCGCATCTTTATTTAGCGATACCATAAATAAAATACATTTCCATAATTTGCCCTATCCCACTCAGAATTTAACAAAAGATATACAGAAAAAGAGGCTGTGACCAGCATGCCACGGCCCTTTGCCTAAAACAAGGTGTTGGGTTAGTAAATGTACCACCACAGACGTGTAACAGGACAGAAACTGCTTACCTAAACCATACACCCAATAATATAAATCACGTTTCTTCTTATAAGGCACAGGGAGAGAGAGAGGGAGAGAGAGAGAGTATACACCAAACACGCCTTTTGTGGTTTTGGTTATTTTACAGTCGCAATCTGTTCAGTGCATGTTTTGGAAAGATGCATTTTCTTTTGGCGTTTTGGCTTAAAAATTGCATAATATAACAAAGAATATGGTTACATAAAAAAATACATAGGCACTTCATGTCGCATATTTTGCATAAACTTGTGTACATGTTGTTTTGAAGTCGAGATCTTTTCTCTTATCGTTATAAATTTCTATCTCTTCAGGAGAATGACCTATAAAATAAACAAGATACACCTCTTCGATTTTTTTTTTTTCCCAGTTATCTGGATTTCAGGCTATAAATGCGTTACCATCTTAACCTAGAGCTCATGAGATCAGATTTTGGCCTGGGTAAAGAGGATGTTATGGGCTCAAGACAAAAGCCACGCTCACATTTTCATGTCTGGAGACTGTTAAGAACACAGCAGTATAATAGTGAAAGATTGTATGGGCATGGTTTGAGATAGTGACAGAAGCAAAGACATTTTGCTATTGATAAAAGGTAACAGACCTATTAAAGGGCAGCTGTATCTCTGTTCAATGTCCATATTTTGCCCGCCGTCAGCGGAATTACAGGCAGCTCAAGCTCACTTCCCAGAAACTAAGGCTGCAAATTCTTGGATGGACATCTCTTTGTTGAGGTAATTCTCGTATTGACGTTTGGTAATGCGCCCGTTCCTTAGGGCATCTTCTATGTTGAATTTCTTGCCCGACTTTCTATCGTGGATAACTGAGGAGTCGCCGTTTGGCCCCTTAATAGTGGTCTCTTCCCAGTCGCATTCCTGGCTTTGTAAGTTGACAAACATTTTCCAGTCGATCAAGCCCAAGTTGCGAGCTTCCTCGGGTGACATCTCCCGGCCAGTGTCAGGATCAATGACGACAATAGAACGGCGGAGATGGTTCTCTCTCTGTTCCCTCTTGACCTGCATGGTCTCCAGGCGTTTGTTTAGCTGTTCAATTTCTGCATCTTTGTCTTGAGAGATTTTCTGTAGACCCCTCAGCTCTTGTTCCAAAGAAGCCAAACGAGAATCTAGGTTAACGCCGCTGTCAACTTGAGTTAAGCTTCTCAGGCCCTGGGCTTCCTTTATGGTAATCTCAATCTCTGAATGCAGGTGGCGGGTCTCCAGCTGTAGACTTTGTTTTTCCATCTGAAGTTTGTGGACTTCCTCTCTCAGGTATTCCAGTTCCTTGTTGGATTTGGAATTGTTGAATTCTGTTTCTGAAAGATGCGCATTCAGGCGTTCAACCTCTACTTCTAAATCTCGCTTGCGCTTGCTCTCTTCCTCCATCATGCACTTCAGCCTCTGTATTTCTTGCTCGGTCTCTGCATCCTTCTCAACCTCTATTTTCTCTGTGAAAACGACCTTTTCCTTCACCTCCATCTTCTCCAGCGTAATGAGCTTTTTCCTTAGTGCATCCAGTTCAGTCTGAAGAATTTGCCTTCTGTGCCTCTCCTCTTCCACTTGAAGTTTTAGCATGTTGTGCTCTTTCTCTTGCTGGGGATCTTGCTGTAGGATGACCTTTTGCTTCAGTGTCACTTTTTCTTTTGTCTCAATCTCTCGCTGCTCCAGTTCATTCAACCTGTATTTAAGCCTCTGGATTTCCAGCTCTGCTTCACGCCTGGACTGTCGTTCTCTTTCAAGTTCTTCAAGCTGACGTTCAAGCTCTGACTTCCTCCACTGCAACTTGTGCAACTCCTCTTGCAGAGAATCCTTTTGTTTAAGCTCAGTTTGAATACTCTTCGAAAAACTGTTGAGTTCGGACTTCAACATAGGATCCTCTTCATATTTCACCACCTCCTGCTGCACCACTTTCTCTCTCACTTGCGACAGCTCATTTTCTTTCTGCCTGATCTTCTCTTCTTGGGTCATTCTTTCATTTTCTAAGTCAATGCGCTTCCTCTGCTCTTCAGCCAACTTGGCTCGTAAGGTTTCAACCTCCTTCTTGGTGTCAGGGTCTTCACGATATTGTAGAACCTCTTGAACCACCTCCTTAACTTGCACCTGAGGTTTGGTATCCATCCAGCTTTTTATCTCCTGCTTAAGCTGATTGTTCTCCAGCTCAGAGCGTTCCACCACCCTAGTCTTATCTAGAATCTCCCCACGGAGCCTCTCTAGTTCAGACAAGACCTCTGGATCTGTCTTGTGCTTTATGACTTCTTTGGTTATCTCTTTCACTTCAACTTCTGGACCGCGTGCTTTGAGGGTTTGCAGTTCGCTCTGGAAGATTTTCAGTTGCTCCTCTGAAGCACGATATTTCCTCTCTTGCTCAATCAGCTCAACCCGCAAGTTGGCCAATTCACTTTCAGCTTTAGGATCTGGTCGAATGATCTCGCGTACCTTCTCTTGGATTACAACTTTGGCATTATCCTCCTCCATAATACTTATCTTGCGTATTAGCTCAGTTTTTTCTCGTTGGGTAATGCGTATCCTTGACGTCTCGTCCTCGTACTGCCTACGAAGGTCAGATACTTCCCTCTCGCTAGCAAGGTCCTTCTCTACCTTCAACACTTCCTTTACTGTAATCTTGCCTTCAGCCATAGCTCGCTCCTTCTCCAAGCGTTTCAACTTCTCCTGTAGGAGCTGCAACTCTTCCTCCTCCTTTTGCCGCTGGGCATTCTCTCTTTGCATGTTCTCCTGGAGTATCCTATATTCTGAGGCCAGCTGAGGATCATTTTGAAGCTTAACAACTTCCTTCTCTGTGATCTTTTCTTGGGGTTTGTTCTTTTCTTGTGACAAGATTAGAATGCGTTCTTTCAAGTTGGAAATCTCATTCTGCTTTGTGCTCTTTTGTCGATTCATTTCCTCCAAGTCTTCTTTGAGCCTTCGGAAATCCTCCTGCTGCTCTCTGTCTTTCTCAATCCTTAGAACCTCCTTTACTATATACTCCTGCCCGCCTTCCTTTTGCTCATACTCTAAGGTCCGAACCTTCAGTCTCAAGGCTTCCAATTCATCCTGCAAAGATTTATTTTTACGCCCTTCTTCCGAAAATTTTTCAAGGACCTTATGGTATTCTTCTTCCAGCTGAGGATCTGGTACTTTCTTCAGAACTTCTTTCTTTACAATGGTCTCTTGAGGTTTCTGATTCTGGAGGTAAATTATCTCCTCCTGGCTGCTCCTAATCTCAGATTCTAGTTGCTGACGACGCTGCATCTCATCATCCAGCATATTTTGAATTTTCCAAGTCTCTGCAGGGGGTCTCTCAGAACGAACCATCTGGACTGACTCTTGTCGCATTTCCACTTCTGGCTGCTGCATTTAAAAAGAAAAACAAAACTTTTAAGGTTTTGTTAAGCGTAACATCACATCAATCTATACTGCCACATCTCTCATCACCCTAAATATACATCACTGAGAGTTCAAATGGGTTCTTCTAGACAGTTTTTTTAGGCCTTCAGAAAGCAGAAAACTTGTCTGATTAACCTCTAGTTGAAGCAGCCATTCCTCAGGCAATCTTTCACATACTCTAGGTCATTGTATAGTTTTAGCATCTCTACCGCAGAAATGGTAAGCATGCAATGCATCATTCCCAACATGGATCCTACACTCAGCCCCTACATGTCTACCTTTTTTTCCTTTTAAGATTTTGATCATTTTCAGATTAATTTTTTTTGTCTTCCCCTGCCTTGTCTCTATGTATCCTTGGAGCCTATTGTAAACCTTTTCGGACTGGGCATTGTTTATATGTCTTTCATAAACATACTGCTTTAAAAGGTCAATGTATAAAAAGCAAGCTTCCATCGTTGGCTGTCTGGCAGTTCACTAGCACAGTCAATGGGTTACAATGGAAGCCACGGGCTTACAAAGACTGTGGCCATTTTAGCTAGAAATGCCGTGTTAATGTCGGAGTGATGTCCCATAGAGATCTGATATTTCAATACTAGGTAGATTTTAGATGCACTCGTATCCAGAGATGATATTTCCCTGCTTAAAGTATATCTAAAGCCAAATTTTCTCCCCCCCTTTCAAGACAATTATCAAGTTTGTGGTTTTTTTTTGGTTTTTTTTTCCCCGTCAGCAAAACTGATTTTCCAAAGTCTGCTGGGGAACGGATGCTTTCTGGAGTATCAGTCTTCTGTGTCCTCTGAAGCTCTCATTGTTTCCCCCTCTGACCTCATGTCATTGGAGGAGAGAGTGGTGAAGTGAGGTCAGAGGAAGGTACCAGTGAAAGTTGCAGACTCAGGAACTATATCTACTGAGCTGAGTGTGAGACCCCCAATAGCTTTACCTTCCACCTATCCATACAGAACTTTCTACCTAGCTTTGAGGAGAATTTCTGTTTTAAGACCTAGACACACGCTTATTTGTGTTTTCTTGCAGTTTAACCCTGAAAGGCGACACTAAGCAAAACCTATTCTTTGCTTAATCCAAACTGTGAACTTTCACATAGAAGTAGCATAAAAAGCTAAAATGACTCCTATTTATTACCTGACGCAGTAGATTCTGAGCAAATTCCAGGGTCTGCACCCTCTGCTTGTTGATGGCGCTGGCCTCCGTAAACCTCGCAGACAAATCTGCCTCCTGTTGAGGGTAAGCAAGAGTTTTTATGGGTCAGATATGTTGGAGCTTGTGTTTTGAAAACTGTAGGAATGGGATTAAAAGCTTTCACAGTACCTCCTCCTTCACTTTGTTGGCAGGCGACAAGACTCTGGACCGTTTAGGATAGGAACTTCTCCTGTTCTCCACATCCAGGACCGACCGCAGCTTCTCAGCATCCAGTTCATAATCCTGTTCGATGGTAAAAGATGAGATAAGTGAACATGCAGAAATAGACGTCCTAGATGCTGAGGGGGAGCTTATGTTTCTTGTACTGAATTAGGCCTTTCTTTTGGCTGCCATGATCCTAGCAGCAGATCCTGTAGGTTGCAACTCAAATATTCAATTGTTTTGTTTCTGAACCCATAAATTATATCTGGCAGAGAAGTGCCTATATAATTGCAGTAACACCCATTTCATGCATTGTCTTCATTTTGATTGGTGCACTAAGGCAATACACCATAGTGCTGCAGTCCAAATTTTGTGATGCATCTGGATTTTTTTGGCTGTGTTGGCAGCCTATTATTTTCTATGGGCTGCCTTAATGCAATGCATGCATTATTGCACCACAAAAAAAGTGAATGAGCACAAATGCCTCAAACATCTGAGGAATTCCAAAAGCAAACTGAGAAGTGGATGGAGCCAAAGCATTAAAAAAAAAAAGTTGGGAATATAGTTTAGCTGATATTTATTGCTAGCAATAGATCTAATCACATGAACAGTGCTGGGTTTATAATTCTTTACTCCCCTGTGCCAGCTACTTTGTCACAGTCTCTTTGCCAATGTCTGTATAGGACACCTGCCCTACCCCATCATGCTGAAGATTAGAAGACATGGCAGAATTTTAGGTGGGCCAGTTGTAGATATGAAGCTGCATAATAAGTGGACTGTGCATGGCTAGAGAGTGCCTATTAAGCCCAGCACAATCCTTTTATAAACCTCTTTTTGTGGGAGGAGGATTACCCGAAAGTGCAAAGCAAATAGACGGTAGGTGCTAATGTGGATTGAGGTTTTTAGCTTGGTAAACCTTACATGCCAGTGTCCATGTAGACAGAGCCAGGAGCCCCATCTTTGACACCTGTGTGTATGAAACCCAAGCAGTCTTGGGTAGATTGGAGGTCCTATTAGCGATTTTATTGTTTTTTAAATCCCAGTCTGCCGGTTATACTGGAATTGGTTTACAAGTAGATGAAGGTTGCAAAATGTTCACCCAAGAGCTGCTACTATTGTGCCACCCTGAAAGAAAGCGGTGCAGTCATAGTTGCCATCTGTTCCCGAGTTTCATGGAGAGTCATGGGCTTGAAGCTTCATCGGTAAAAAAATATTACTAAAATAACCATGGTTTATATGAATGATCTCTATAAAGCCACCCCCCCCCCTTTTCTCCATCTTAGATCTTGACAACTCCTTTTTGATTGATGCTCTAAAGTAATATTTTATGCGGATTATCCATACATCTGGTCATTTACCTTCACTGCATGCTGGTATTGCTGTGAGCTGCTGGTCACGTGATCCAAATCTTGCTCACGGTCGGCTATCTCACCCACTAGTCGCTGCCAGAAGACAAAAGCAAAATGTACTAAACATTTGTTGATGACGAATATTCATAATGCAAGAATTATTTTATACATGGGTCGAACTCGATGGACTTGTGTCTTTTTTTTTTTTTTTTTTTCAACATAAAATAGAAGTCACCAGCACTCGATCATATGTGCAAGAAGTAAAGCACTTTTTATTCAATCGTCTTCTGGGCGACATAGTGACCACTATGTGAACCGACATAGTGACCACTATGTTGCCCAGAAGAAGGGACCCTGCATGGCCCCGAAACGTTGGCTGTTTGACGCATGTGACGATTGAATAAAAAGTGCTTTACTTCTTGCACATATCATCGAGTGCTGGTGACTTCTATTGCGGACTGTATCTGACACGGTGCTATCCGTGTTGTCACTTCAAGCACCAACCTCTCATCCAAGGTCTGTACGCTGTATGGAGTGCAGGTGATTTCGTATTGTTTTTTTTCAACCTGACTAATTATGTAACGTCTTAACAGTGTTCCCAATACCAAAAATTGTGTTGTTTTCATTTTGCTATGGCAAGGGAGAATCTGAGGACTTGCTACTATCGGCAACATAAACTTCTTTTTGACAGATGAGGCTTGTTAACTTTCCTCATCTAACAAGCCTTTGTCAACAAAGACTTTTTAAATATCAAAGGAGACCCCAGGGGGAGGGGAACAACTCAAATGTGCGATTTTTAAAAAGTGGTTCCATAATATTCACAGGAGGCTTGAAAGATGCCATGGAAATATTTGACATCAAGCACAGTTTACCCGTTGGTTGTTCAGTTTGGTCTCCACTTGCTTGACGCTGTCAGAGTCTTTGGGCTCGTAGTTGGGAACATCACGTAGCCACCCGTCAAGTTGGTCGTAGCCATTGCGGTAGTTCGTGTAGGCAGTCTTGGCTTTCTGCAAGGCCTGAGACCTAAATGAGAAGACGTGTAAGAATATGCAGCAACAACATGACGACACTGAGGTTTGACCTCTGCAATATCGTCCAAGCTTTTTTATATAATTTGTATTAGCCATTTATATAGTGATGCTGATGTATATATTGCCCACATATCTCACAGCGCTGTAGGAAGTAAGAGCACAGAGTGATATAATAAATAATACAAGGGGGGGGGAAAAAATACTAGGAATTTAAACTTTCCAGAAGAACCTACAATCCAAGGCGGACCATGGGCAACAAAAGGATGGTCTTTTTTTGGCCAAATTGGACAACAAGGTAGTATTTGTAGAGCAGCTTCAAACGAGCATATTCTGGGATTAAAGAGATTAGACAATTTAAAAACATCTGATCACTGTAGATAGGCGGAATTATTTCTGTAAAAAATGATCAGATTTGCCAAAGTAGGAACTTAATTTAGCTCAATGAGCTGCTTCGGTAATATTTGCCTGAAGAAAAGTCTTGGTGCATGAACAGGACCAGGGTGGTATAAGGAGCTTCTGTCAATTTTCAGGAGCAATTTAAAGTAGGGATGCGCCGATATATCGGCTGAAAATGGCACTTTTGGCTAAATGCCGAAAGTGCCATTTTCCTGCGATACATCGGCGCATCCCTGGTTTCTTTCCTCCCCGTTGGGCGCTGCTCTGTGTCCCAGCGGGGAGGAGAGAAAGTGACAGCCGGCCGAGCGCTGTGAGCGGCCGGTGTCTCTCCTTCCACACCGCTCAGCCATTCATTGCACAGTACGTCAGAGTGGTGTGTGGACGGAGATAGCGCTGTCACAGGAGGCTAAAAATATATTTAACAATTTTGAAAAATTAAAATAAAAACGTTTGGTTTCGGCCTGACAATTTTTTTTATTTCGGTTTCGTTTTTAAATTTCTATTTCGGTGCACTTCTAATTTAAAGCCCACAACCCCCTAAAAACTCCTTTAATTTCTCCTTCCCTATCGCCAAAATGTTTGCTAGAAATGTTAGGTGACCGAAAACTCTCAATTATGCTCATTCTTGCTATGGTTTCCCCATCCTTTGGACTTCTGTGCACACCTCTTCCTCCATTGTCTAGACAGGAATGCTCATGTAATCAGAGCAGTCCTGTCAGAGGAAAAGCTAGGACAAAAACCGTTGGATTAACCACACGCATCCACTGATGTCTATGGCCAGAGGGATAGATAAAAGAGGTAAGGAAGATTTCGTATGTATTGAAGAAGAGCTGGAGCCTTGAAAAGCAATACACAGAATTGTCAGTTTGACGTCATCAGTTTGGAGGAGGTATTTAACCCCTTCATGACTGAGCTTGTTTTTGGTTTCTGTTCGTAAATGACTGACACACTTTTGACATTTTTGCTGTGTGATTCTTCCACGTCAGTAATATACTTTCTTACAAAGTGCACCCACACATATTATATATTGTTTTTTAGAGGACAGATAGGGCTATATATTTATATCACATATGTGTGTCTAACGCCTCACTTAGCACAAATACAAATTAAAAAAAGAGGAAAAAACGTAAAAAAAAACCTTTTTTTTCCCAGTTTTGATTAGTATTTTTTTTTAAAAAACCAGCACTGCTAAAAAAAAAATGCAATACATACATTCATTTATTTGTCCCTTATTTTTAATTTTTTTACACTTTTCACTATTTTTTTAAATTTATTTACACTTTTCACTTTTTTTATACTGACAAATTTTATTTATTTAATTATATCAGGCAGTCATTGTGAATTAATCTCACTATTACTGCTTGATAAATTAATACAATTTTTTTATTATCAGGCTGCTTCAAACTTCAGAACAGCCGATAATAAGTTAGTGACACTGATCCTGCAGCAGTTCAGGATTCAGCTGTCAGTGAATGTTTCAGAAAACTTAAACATTCTACTTTCAAGAATAGATACATTATGTGTCTAATACATAACATTTTGTATCTATTCTTGAAAGTCAAAAGATAAAAAAAAAAAAAAACCCAGTATAGCTTGAGAGAGATATCTCTCGATCTATACGAGCTGTCAGAATGCCGGCAAAAGCCGACATGTGTGTCTGCTTTGCTGTGACTCTCAGACACCCGATATTAAGGTATCGGGTGTCTGAAAAAGGTTAACCCTTTCAGTAATGGATCTCTAGATAGTTAGACATCTATTACTGAAAGGTAACCGCTGATTCTCAGCGGTTAGCAGCCTTCTAGTGCAGCAAATAACTCGTCACGTACAGTGTACGTGACGAGTCATTTGGTCCCTTTGTGGCTGGACGGACAGTGTACGTCTCCTGTCACGAAGGGGTTAAATGATATCTGATGGAGCCCCAGCATAAAAACCAACACTCCGGAGCACAGCTCACCTGCTCTGAATCTGTTGGTCAAGCTGTGAATAGCGTTGGTTGAGTTTGGACACTTCAGCCTCCTGACGCTCAATATCGGGACAATGCTCCTGGAAACGATTGGCCGCATTCTGGCAGCACAGTTTGCTTTTTTGCAGATCCTTCTCAGCTTCTGCAAGGACACCTCTTCCCTTCTGCAGCTCGGAACTCATCGCCTGGAACGGTGAAGAAGATGGTCAGTGAGGTGATAAACCTCCATCATTTTATTCCTCTACTGGTAACTAGAGAATAACTATCCTTTTGGAGTTGAGAATATGAGATAAACATGACAACATAAAGAGACGTTCTGCAGCTTGTTGAACTAATGTAGTAAATCTTTAGATGATCAACCTCTTTTGAAAGCTCCTGTGATAAAGGTGATCCCCCTTTATTTCTAGACATTCTGCAGCTCGGTGTGGATTACATCCCAAGCACTACTTTTCCTTTCCTACAGCAATTCGCTTACCGACAGTTCCACAAGTTTATTGTCCACAGCACGTGGGTCCTCTGGCACAGTGTCATCCTGGCAGAGCTTGTTCTCATAGGTGGCCAGGAGGTCCTTGCTCTTCTGCAAGCTGCCTTCCAAACGATTGGCTGCCTCAATCCTATTAAAAAGAAAAAAATCCACTTCAGAGATTGACATCCACCTATGCTCCAGAGCCGATATGCAAGTGTATGGCCCATCAGGTGGGGTAGCAGCTCTGACAGCATGCTCTCCTCATATGGCACTGCTCCGAAATAAGATGGGGAATTGTTCCCCCTCCTACCTATTCCACTTCCCTTCCTCTTCACGTCACTTCCCTTTTCCCTTCTTGCCACCCTTTTCTCCACCCCTCTTCACTAGTGAGCCCACCCCCTTCTCTCCAGCCTCTTAGGAAAAATATGAATGTTTTAGTAGATGGTGCGGTGAGACCTTTCTCTACCACATTATGTTTTTCAGTCTGTTAAACACCTATAGGTGTTATAATAGCAATATGACCTCAAGAGGACGGAGGCCTTGTTATGACCTCTGCTTCATCCAGGTCTGCAGGAATCCACTGGGAGAATCAAGCCCCAAGTGAAAGGCATGAGTTATTTAACAGCTAGAGAATGCCCAAAACACAATAACCATCTTGGCTTACAGTAGTAACTGCTCTATTTCCAACAAAATCTTACGTCCAGTGTGAAGATGCTGACAAATGGGCTATATCTTTGCTGCTCTCGTCATCAAAGGGGTGCACTTAGGGTTACGAGTGAGATATAGGCATTAAGATACCCTCCTACTGCTGGATTTTAAAAGTGAAAACTACTTTTTGTGCATCAGTCCAACTATTCATACCAATTTAGTTCATGATGTGACCGATATTTGTTTTAGTGAGAGACTGACTTCCAAATGTAATAGCTACTATTAGGCCACTGGCCACCAATGTTTAAGAGGGTTCTTACCAATGGTTATATGTTAAAGGGGGGCTCCATTAAACTTGCTGTAAAGACCTCTAGCCACCAATGTTAAAGGGGACGATAACTGGTTAAACAGTATAGGATGAATGCAAAGTAAAGTTACCAATGGACCAACAAGTTGGAGGGCCCCACCAAAATTTTGCTATGGGGCCCTGTGCTTTGTAGAGTCTGAGTTGATGATTTGTGTTCAATTCAAATGGGTTTTGCATTTTCCTACAAGTCTATGGGAATGCAAAACCTGCTTGAAGCTGGTTAATTACAGATCAGAAGGTCAGCCATCAGTCAAATGATCCTGTGAATACATTCTGAATGATCTCAAACTGACGTCAAACCAATGCCATTAACACAAGCTCAAAGCCCATCAAGGCAGGCCCTTACTCCAATGGGGCCTCAGATGCTTCCTAGTGATACTGTGGGAATGCAAGCGGTTATTCCAAATGAAGTTAGGAGAGCAAGTTTGGCTTTATATTTACAATACCACAATTTTAAAAGGCTTAAAGTTGCCTTTGCTGGTCCCTTACTTGTCTTGGGAGCAGTTCAGAAGCTCGTTGACCTTGTCATATTTTTTGTTGGTTTCACTGATTTTGCTGCGCAGGATGGGCGTGCTGGAGACCTCTGGAGATTTGGACAGATAGACCTCGCACTCTTGAACCTTCTGAGTTTTCTCTGGCTCTATCCGACGCACATTATTGGCAACATTCTGCAAGTGAAGAAAAGATGTTACACTTTTGCAACAGACATTCTGGTTTGTCAGTGACTTTCGGTGAAGAAATAAGAATGGTGGTATGAAAAATACCAGATCTACCATTTACTGTATGTAGATAGCACTATCAGGAGGCGCAAAATGAACCACACCAGGGAGTCACTCTGTGCTTCTATCAGCAACCCTAAAATGTACCTGTACCACCTTAAAAAAAGGGCAGCGGTGGAAAGGCATTATTGTTTTGCTACAGCATACCTTAAATTTGCCATATCTCTGTACGCAGAGTGTCACTGAAGTCTGTAAAGGTCCTATGCAAATGCTGACTTGCTCAAAGTGTGTATTTGCATGGACGTAGGCAAGCCCCCAGCTGCCCATGTGATAGTGCTCAGACCGGTGATTGGTAGATTAAGCACTGTTTTGCACAAGGTGGGAGGGGTCGTTGGCATTCTCCCAGAACCTGGTTGTTTGCATCTTCAGTGGTTGCCCTGGCCGCATTCTGTGGGCATTCTGTTTTGGCCAAATTGGACAACATGGTAGTATCTGTAGAGCAGCTTCAAATGAAAATACTTGGGGGAGATATGACAAGTTAGGGGTTTGTTGAGGCACCTTATGATGGTGCATTCTGTTTTCACATAAGTTTCGCTTTCTATATTAATAGATATCCTTACAAGATTATCTTGCCACTGATGCCACGTATTTACGTAAAGATATGCAAGGAATTCACACGCATACATCAGTGCCCGATTTACTGCTGCATAATATGCAGTTTGCAGAAAACATAGAACCAGCTGCTTTAGTACATGCAACCAGTGCAACATAACGCTAATGTCCCACACACTGGGGCACATTAGGTGTGGAATACCATACACCCTAGATGTATATTCTTGACTTATGGAAGGACACCGTACAAACATGGAGAGAACATACAAACTTAATAATAGCAGTATTGCTTGTGGCAACCAAACCCAAAGCTTGGCACTACCAAGCCACATTGCTAAGCGCCAAGGCAGAATGGTGTCATGCTTGTCTCCTGAATACTCTTGACACTTACCTTAAGCTCATTCAACCTCTCTGAGCTATCCTGCACAGCACGATTCTGATCCAGTGGTGGCCGGAGTTGGGAACTGATGGCTTTCTCCTGCCTGTCCAGATCAGAGATGACGCGGTCCAGTCCGGCAAGCATCTGTCGTCCCTGTGTCTCCTGGGCATTGGTGGTAGCTGCAGAAGAGTAGCAGGTGGATAAATAGTTAAGAGGTAAGGGGGCTAAACCCCGGACATTGCATACAGAATACCCTGCGGATTTAGGGGTTTCCCAAGCTGTATATGATCTCTGGCTGGTTGTGTTTAGGGCCTCATGTCACTTAGATACTTTTATCCATAGAACAGATGTATTTAAGGTCTTGTTCACATAACCTGTACAGTATCGTGGTCCTAAATACAAAAAAAACGAATATGCAGAGTACATCAGTCCAAACAAGAATTCCTCAATTGCTTGTCTGACTGCATTTGCCTACAGACCATAGATGATGAATGGCAGTGCAGGGAGGGATATAGTTCCCAAACGATTGTTCTTACAAACCATTGTACAAACATAAAAGGTTTTTCGCCTTTACAGAGGTGGGATGCTGCGGGTGCCAGTTCTCTTGGTGTGGTGGGAACATTAGTGGGCCGTCAATGGGTTCCCTAAACAGGTTCAGTCAGGAGACATCTGGGGAAACGTCCGGACGCATGAACATTCCTTGACAGCTATAGGCACCTTTAGCTAAACTGAATTGGTTGTACAGTGGTACAGGAAGTTCGGCGTTCGCGAACTCCGCATCGGGCGACTAACACAACCGAGGTACCACTGTACTGCATTCTAGTACATAAAGGCCTCTTGTGGAAGAGCTGGTTGTAGTTTTAGGTTGTTGTGGAAAACATTACAAAAATACAGAAAATCCCCAGCTCACCTGCCAGCTAGCCTGCAACCAAACTAATTGCCCTGTCAACAGTATGCGTTAAAATCAGAGGCTAGCTGGCAGGCTGAGGCTGGGGATTTTCTGTGTTTTGTATTGTTGTAACCCTTCCCAATGTGCACCCTGCCGTAAAGGCTAGTTATAGATTCATGCAGGTACCATGTTTTTTCTACTTTGACTATTTTTGGTTGAGAGGACGCACTGGGGTCCCAGCGTGCATTTTTGGTTGCTGGGCCTCCAGTGCGTCCCTGCACCTTATTAGGAGGAGTTGGCTACCTCCTGGTACACCTGCATGTAATTTATTGACTGCATTAATATGCTCACACTTGGAGACTCGTATACATAGAGTTAGGACCACACCTTGCAGAGGTGCCTTGGCGCGGCGGTGTGGCTTCTACATATTTTTGGCCAAAAGTTTGTGCAACTAAAACCTCCTGATTTTAACGCATACTGTTGACAGAGCAATTAGTTTGGTTGCAGGCTGGCTGGCAGGTGAGCTGGGGATTTTCTATGTTTTGTATTGTAAGCCTTCCCAATGTGCACCCTGCCGTAAAGGCTAGTTATAGATTCATGCATGTACCATGTTTTTTCTGTTGTGGAAAACATGTTGTGTTCACCTTGGACAACCCCCAGACACTGGGAGCTAGCTTCTAATTTTACCGGTACCGTCTTTGATCTGCAGCTAAGTTGCAGCTGTCACTACTGCCAGATTATAAATCAGTGGACACGAAGTGCCGGTAACATTCTACAACCAGTCTCCACTTTTACTGGCTACAGTGCAAGATGGGTGATGAAACTCTTGTAGAAATGCAGATACAATCGCTAATTAGATATGCATTGCCATGCATCAATAATCCTTGAGACTGTATTTATAATATAGAACTGATGGACTTGATGAAATAAGGGCAAACGATAAAAAAATAAATACCAGTCATACAGGAGAGGAAACCAAAAAAGCCATGACTATCCTGTAGCAGGATAAAATGGTGAACCATTATGGCTGCACTTCTGCATACTTTCCCATAATCTTCACTACTGGAACCACAGAGCTGGTGCCTTGTAGTGACAAGACTACAACTATAAGGCAGGAGGACCATCATCTCTGCATTTTTGCATGCTTTCCCATAATCCCCAGATATTAGAAATATTGAGCTGGTGCTGCCAGTGACATGACTATCCTGCTGGAGGTTAAACTGCTGCCTCTAGATTGTCTCTCATAACCAAGTGTAGACAGTCCCTATAGACTAAAATATAGGCTGTACTGTGTCAGTACCGTACCTGACGATTCCCGCTTCACGTCCTCAAGGCGCTGGAGGAGAGCTTTCCTGCTGCCTGCTGCTTTCTGCTTTGTGGATCGGTACTGGTTCATGAGACTAACCAAAAAAAAAAAAAGGTTAGTAAAATAGGGGCCCCATCTATAAATAATTCAGAATAGTAATCAGCCTTTTGTGTAGGAAGGGCTAGAACAACTGTAAGGTTTTTATTGCTTTCCATTGGTGTGAAATAGAAAGGCATTTTAAGAATGGCTGTTTTGTTTACATTCAGCCTGTCTGCATTCTGCACTGTAAAATGAAGAGAAATGCATCTGCAGACTAGGACCAGGACCAAAAATTATTATTATTATAAAGTATTTATATAGCGCCAACAGTTTGCGCAGCGCTTTACAATATAAGGAAGACATTACAATCACAATACAATTTAAGACAAGATGGTAAGGAGGGCCCTGCCCCTGAGGGCTTACAATCTAAAAGAGGAGGGGGAAATGATACATGAGGTAGCTGTGGGAATGAATTATGTGAGAATGTGAAGGATAAAGATCCCCTTGATGTGCATTCTGCTTTTTCACAATTGGTTGGTAGGAAATCACATGAGCAGGGATCATCTAAGGCAGGGGAAGCCAAACTCCGGCCCTCCAGCTGTGGTGAAACTACAAATCCCATGATGCATCTCTCTCCGGGAGTCATGTCTGTGGCTGTGAGAATCTTGCGATGCCTCACGGAACTTGTAGTTCCACCACAGCTGGAGGGCCGGAGTTTTGCTACCCCTGATCTAAGGGCTGCCTTTTTCCAGACGCCAGTGAGCTGTTTTTTAGTGACAACCTGGCTTCTTCGTGCCGCTATAGAATGTGGTGCAATATCCAAATCTTTGTTGATGGCTTCTGACTTTGAAGGTTTGGAATCAAGCAGGAGAAGCATAATGTGTCATTTTTATTTGAACTCCTAGCCTATTTAGCAGTGTCCAGATCTGGAACCCGGATGGGACTGCAGATGGCTGAATATAAACAAAGCAATGTTTACACAGGTTGCGCCTGTGATAGCAGCTCCTAGAAATAGGGGTGTTTTATACGCAGTCGCTTGTTGTCCTTGGACATATTAAAAAAAGCTATAGAAATCAGCCAGTTACCTGTCGCCAAGTGCCACGGCTTCAGGGTCAGTCGGGGGGATGTTGAAGCAGACGCCCGGTGCAACCAGCTTCTTCCCATTGCCGTCTGTGACCTCCCACTTTTCCCCCCTGTTGTTCTTCAGAGTGTACTGTGACCCTCGTCTAATCTCACCCTGCATTGCATAAAGCAGAAGAACTCAGAGTCAGCATAGAAATGCGCCATAAATACATATAATAGAAATCATAAAAATTGTGTTTTTATAGCAGCGGTCCAATATCACACCATTTCAATCATGTCAGGCTAACATTGGTTTCTAGTACAACACACAAGGGAGGACCTTTTACCTCGTCGGCGTAAAAGTCACATAGGGCCACCACCGGGACAGGCTTCAGTGGGGTCTCCCGGCGGAACTTCAGGGGTACCACCTGGTGACTGTGCTTCTGGATGGATTGCACAACATCTTCGTACTTATCCAGAGCCTTGTCCTGGTCCTAGAAACAAGAGCCATGAGGAGGGGGTTATAAAATGAATGTAGAATTATGCTTGCTAGAAATATACTGAGCTGTAGAAATTAAAAGGAAATCTAAAATGAATGTAACTTCAGGCCATCTGCATAGTTATACAAGGGGATCCCCACCTCCCATAGACTTGCTTCTAAACCACACAGTGACCCTAAACTTTCCATAGAGAACAGTTGTATGGTCAGATATATGCTGTAATACCAGATTTTAACACCAGGTCAGGTTTAGAATTCCAGGTTTTTGTCCACAGAGATATAGGAGTGGGTGGACTACTTTACACCATAGAGATGCCCTAAGCAGGTAACAGTTTGTAGGGGAATCCTATTAAACCTTGATGTGCACCTACCTCAAGTTCTCTCAGCTGTGCTTCAACCTGGTATTTGTCTTTGAAGTCTGGGCTGTACTTAAGGTCCAGGTCCGTGTCCACTTTCTTCAGCAGGTCCTGGCTATCCTTCGCGTCTCTGTAGAACTAAAGGAGTAAAGAGAAGACCACATGAGATAATCTGAACTTTAACTATAAAACCATATCAGAGTCCTCCAGGTGAAAATAAGAAGGTACTGAGGCTTCCCATCTCAGTTCTGGCAAGACTGGGCCACTTTTAGGTCGCCCAGCCTCAATCATCCTCCAGGGCCTGGTCACAGTTATGACCATTGCAGATCCTACAGCTAGACCATCTGGTTACTCGTGAGACCTATATTACTTAAAAATCACAAAGTCTGAATGTTCAAAGTAAAAAATAGAGACATAGTTACATAGTATTTGAGGTTGAAAAAGTCAAAGGTCCATCAAGTTCAACCTATTGTGTGTATGTATGTGCATAGGAATCTAAGATGAACGTAAATCACCTCCAACATACACCAAACTCTGGCCATATAGAGTCACATCAACATCCCCTATGCAACCTGAAATTGGACCAATCACACCCAATGAAGGACAGCTGGGAAGTACAACGTGGGTCTCTCACCTGGTGGTAGTCCTCCATGTACTTCAGATGGCTCTCCTCACAGATCAGGAGGTTTAGATACTCTTTCCAATCGGCATGTACAGCATCCATGTGGGCCTGTAAAGAGACACATTATTCAGATGGAAGAAAAGCCAAAAGAAGAAAAAGCAGAACATGGATAAAATATATTGCTGAAAATTATAGCTAATTTGCCTACAAACGTCAGGTGGTCATAATAATCCGGCCACTCAGTGTATATACAATATATATATATTTATGAAAGAGTGTGATAAGGCTATACTTTCCCCATTGTATAGTCATAGAAGAGTATAGTCCTCTTCAGCAAGATATGCTGCAAGGCAAGGACTAGTTTGGTGTTGAAGTTTGTAAAGTATTTTTACCTCTATTGGGACCTTTGCCGGGTGCCCGTCTGCCAGCACCTTCTCGCCCTCTTCCTGCAGCTTGTTGATTTCATCTTCTTTGGATTCTAGACTCCTCTGGATAAAGTTCTACGAGAAAAAGAGAAATGATCATTCTTTTAAAGAAGAACTCAGGTCTGTTTTAAAAAGTTGGAGATTATTTTACAACCATGACCTATTCCAAATCAGCATGTAAATCAGTTAATACTTAGACTGGATTCACACTGTTCCATATGCGCTGCAGGGCATGGTGTTGCACACGCATGGGTGTGGATGGACCCATATAGTCTCCCTTTGTCTTTCACACTGAACTGCAGCGCATACATGTGATCCATCCCCATAGGAAAGAATGGGATTTCTATTTGACATGCATTTTATTGCAGCAAAATGCATGAGGTGAGGTATAGGCCTTTTCAGTGCCTGGAACTCTCATGAACTATATAAGCCAGCTGCTGGTAACTTCACTCTCTTGTGGTCATCGCTTCGTTCATCAGCTTCGTCATGAGCTTCGTTCCTATGCGATGTACCATTCGGCTGTGAGGTGTTACCATTTCTCTTTATTACTCTATTCATGAACAGGAACACATTTATTACAGCAGAATGACTGGCATGGTAAGGTGTGGATGACTGGGAACCGAAGTGCAGAGAATATCATCACTGGTATCCCGAGTCATAAAATGCTAGGCTGTTTAAATTCATCTCCAGCATCTGCCAAACTAAAATATCACTTTTTGGCAGACTGACCCCTCAAAAAGCATGGTTCTAAGATAACACATACATGCAGTGTAGGTATAGAAATTCCCTCCAGCCAATAGAGATTTTGAAGTCCCATTCCTGATCTCCCAACCCACCTCATATTGCCTCCTGCGGCTGATGTAGTCGGTATTGCGGTCGCTCCAGTCATACTCCATGCGTTCCTTCTCTTGTTGGTCCAGCCAGTACAGCTCATTGGTGCAGCGCTGCATGTAGTCCTGCAGGCTGCCCAAATCCCGCTGGCGCTTCTGGGATGCACTCTGTGACATAAAATGGGAGACCGTCACTGAACAGCAAAAGCACAAGAACACGACTAGAGGTTCTGAAGGACCAGATACAATATTGATGAAAATAAGAGTTTTTGTCCTATTAATATAAATGGATGACCGTGCCAATGAGGAGACTTGATTGTTAACCCCAAA